ATACTTAACCAAGAGAAGAATATATGTGTAACACATTATAGCGGTTTGACGATTGGTTAGTTTGTAAACGATTCAATCTAATATAAATTATATACAAAATTTATATAAAAATGTCCTGTTCATATACAGGATAGGCTGCCTCAGAAAAATGCTATCGGCTAATTTTTTTTTAATGATTCACGCTGTATACTGTTATCGAAAATGATAGTCACGCTTCTTAATGTATATGGTTTATTATGCTTATTTTTTATTACTTTAATCAGAAACTTAAATCTTATGTGTCATATTAATTTAATCATTATGTATCCGACCCTAAGCCACATTGTATAGGCGGCTAGATGAACACTTGGATACAAACGAATAGATAGCACACAAAGCCATATATGTTTGGAATCAGTAAAACAAGTTTATAATTTATACTACAATTATACAGGGTGTTCCATTTGAAAAAATATAAATTTACTCGATATCACTTTTCTAAGAAGTAGTAATGAAAAAGGTATTGCACTTAGAACTTTATAGCCAATACAGCATTTGTATGAAGTATTTTTTCTAAACGCTCATACAAAGAAGTTAAAGGTGGTCAATTTTTAGCACGTGAGCCCTAGTTCTATTTAAAAAAAATGCTCCAGGATGGCGACCACTTTACGCCAAAAATATAGTATGTATTGATGTATCAATTTCATAACCCAGAATTTCAGCTTGCTAACTTGACCCGTTAAAAAATAATTGAGGGGATCCTTTTTGAAAAGCACACCGTTAGAACCCCAGACCAGAGTCTTAATCAAAAGTATGAAAATATATGATAATGATACAATTGAAAAATATTAATTACGTATCTCTTATTAAAAATGGCAATGCTGGGAGATTTGCAGAGCCATCACTTATTATGAATAAATTATCATTTTTAGCCATCTTTTTTAATTCCGAATATCTTCTCTCAATCCCATATTTTGGGACATTTATCTGGCTCTTTTTGAAATGGTCTATGTTATTTTGAGTATCTCCGTATTTTTAACCAATTCAAGGCTTCTCATAAAGCCTTGTACTTTACAATAGCATCGTCTGTCTAGAGTTCTGCTGTACATATCGAGCAACTGTCATGTTGATAATTCACAATTCCATGACAGTTCCTTTTGACAACTATCAGCTAGTGTAATCAGATTTGGAGCCACTTATGAAGCTTGGTAAGATTTTTTCATGTTTGATAACGAGAGAAAAAAATATATGTATTAAGAAATCTTTCAATCAGGTACTCAACTCCCCAACAATTAATGTTTGTTCTCAAGATAATCCTTTGAGTTTTCACATGTGAAACAGGCCCTATAATCTTTAGTCTATGCATGATGCACAAAATCTGGAAGGGTCTAGAGTTTACCTGAATCTACAATTGGGGTAAGACCGATAGTCCACACCCTCATTTATTCTAGACCCCAGTGGAAGCATAACGGTCATAAGCTTTACAATAGAAGTAGATTTTACTATACATTTTTGATGCCTAGGGTCAGGTGCGTAACTACAGAGACACAGGGTAATGTGTCCTAACAAAATGTCGTTTAACAAGTTTTGTAGAAGGTTCTTGCGATCTGAAGAGCTTAGGGGTGATAAAAAATAATTGATCCTCATTTTAATCGATTATTGTTTCCTTATACTCGAAGGATGATAATCGATTTTTAATAAATCCAAAAATTAATTTCTGACATTCCCGAATGGTCATTTCCAGCGGAACAGGTCAGATGCAGATAAGTTCAGCACGTAGCCAGGGTACAATATTGGTTCCAATTTATATGGGTGACTTAATTTGATAGTATCTTATAATCAGAAATTCCTTGTTCGAAATAAATGATAAATTACACATTATTAAGCGATTTTTGTGAGCATCACCATCTGTAAGTAAAAACTCGAATTAAGTTCGTTTAACATTTTTGGGAAAATCTTTGTTTTTGAATACCTTGTACAAAATAATGAAGTTTTCAAAAAATATATTTATTGGAAATAAATGAGGTCTAAGAAAATATTTTGAGACTAAACGTGTTTCAACGTAAATTGTATATCAAAATAGCGGACTGTCAATGCTGAGATTTTTTACACTGATTACCTTATAATGCAACAACTAATAATAAAACCATATTTTGTTATATTGACGTTTATCTTTTAAGCGAATAAGGAATAAAATATGAGTCTTTAAAAAATACATGTCGCGATAATCTACGACATACAATACCTGTATAAAGTTGAATATATTTAAAACACGCCCGGTTACATATGGTATACCGGGCGTTTCAAATTCGACACTCCCCATTGGGATCTCGGAAGCGGTAAAAGATACGAAGTCCGATAAAAGGGGTAAAGTTGCACATTCAGGTAGCTAACTTTATTTTCCTCCTTTGATCCTTCAACTAATTTTAGATTATCACTTAAGAAAATGGCATATAGAAAGTTTCGCAATTCCGAGTATTTCCGGGGATAAACGAAAGAAACAGAATTTTCTCAAAATCGTTTTTATTTTTCCTGACTTTGTAGTCTAATTTTAAAATGAGACGTACATATATGTTGCAACTTTTTCACCTTTACAAGATGGCATAATCAGAATTTCAATATGACCTTTCATTCACAATAATTCACTTTGTCTTTTCTTATAGACTATTTTATATTTTTGCTCAGTTGAATAGAGTTTTTGATTCTGATTCCAGAAATGTACCATATTTCATACAAAAACCCAATAAGGCGTCTATGAGAAAAAATTGAACTGATTAAGGGCAAGAGATAAAACATCATATCGAAATTCTAATTATACCATCATCTTGTAGAGAAGAGAAAGTGGCAATGTTAATCAATGTACTTTCTATTTCAATTTCTCATCTCAGAATTAAACATGGAAAGAATAGAAACGATTTTAGGCAAATTCGTTTTCTTTCGTTTATTTCGGGAAATACTCTCTACTTCGAAACTCTCTACGTGCAATTTTCTTAGTTACCTAGCATCGTACCTCATCTTACCGTTTTCGAGATCTCAATGATGAGTGCAGCATTTCACACCCCATATAACGATCTATAAATAGTTGTCGTCTAGGAAGCATCCCCCAGCCACGCACTACTATCACACCCTGTATAGAAAAATATGAACTTTTTCAAATAGAAGATTTTGCACATTTTTCCCAAATCGATTTATACTAAAAATCTATTGATCGATTTCTTACTTGTAATATATGGAGATTTAGGGGTAGTTGAAATATTAGGTCTTACTTTAAGACCTGCTAAAAAGTCATTATATTTTCCAACCCAAAAAATGATACACTTGCATTCATCATTCTTTATGCCTACCACCGTTTATAAAAGTATACATAATAATATAGTTATATTCCTAAATAATCTCACTAACATACTTACACAATTTGCTAATTCTAAATACGTTATAATATACAGTATGATTATATATTAATACTCCAGTTATACATACATGCATATACTACATTGCCTACGAAAAAAAAGAAAAACGGGGTTACAGGGGAAACTCTCAGCTGTTTTTTGCGCCTTGAAAATTCTAAAGAGTTTTCTGAAAAGTACAGGTCTGTATCGAAATGATTTAAACAATCTGTACATGAGGTATTAACGAACTCCTTTTTTTAAATTCCATCCTATTTTAAATTTCCGATTTCGAATCCATGTCAGTAATATATAACATCCTACAAATTTGCAAGTGATTCAGATCCAACACTGTCATAATACCTCTAGAATGAGGCTGGCCATTAAAGTTTTGATTTAAGATTAAGGTTCCTTACCCTTAGCTTTACCGTTAGCTACAAATTAGTGATGCAAGCATAGTTTCAATAATTCAAGAATTTAGTTTACCTGAAAGGAAATATTTAAAATTAGCCCCATCCCATTACCCACCTACCTATAAATAAAACCGTTTGTTACGCCATTGGTAGTTAATCCCTCTCCCTACTCCCTAGTCTGTAGACGTAGAGCCTCCTTCTCCTGGGCTTTCTAGAGTATTCTGACGTGATTTTGACGGTGTCTGCTGCAAAGGGCATTTCTGTTGTGATCGCTGGTTTAGTAGTTTCTATATAATAACAAATGTAAGTACAAGCCTCATAATTCGAACACACATTATTATAAAATTAATATTGTCGATATTCTGTATATTCACATAATGCAGTATTTAATGAAACCTATTCTTTTGTTTTGGCGCGAATGCCGGTGAAACATGTTTACGCGGCGCTGCCAAATCCCTTTCTTGGTATAATAGGGGTTATCGGAAGGTTTTCTCGTTTACAAAATTGGTAAAACATTTATAGTAGTACGGCCTATAATATGAATCAAAAGTATGATTAAAATATTATGAATAAAGGAGTTTAAAGCTTGGGGTAAAAGTAGCGTGGGTAAGACGTGGCAACGCTGTATAGTGGGGAGAATGAAAATTAATGACCCCAAGCCAAGCCATCTCTGATACAAACAAAAAAATTGTTAGGTTTTGTACAACCGGTATTCGGCTTTGTTTAGTCTGTTTTATCGCGTTATATTTTCGTTGTATAAGAGTTCAAGGTGATTTTTTGGTGTACTTTGAATCAATAATAACGTACCATAATTTTGCAGATAACTAGAGACTTGAGGGTGCGGCAGCATGCGTTCCTTTTTTTTATACATACTTGAAATGCCACTGCCACTCATTCAGTCGGTGGTTAAAGCGGAGCGCTAGTGGTCTCGTTCGAGAGGCGAGACTGTTTTGTCTTATCCCGACACAGTTCAGTCGCCATCATGCGTTGGAACAGTAAGGGCTGTCCTTTTACCATTGAGGCCTACTTTTCGGTCTGTGATCGGAATCGCTTCAATTTAGTACCGTTGGGCTAAGATGAAAAATTGTATTTCTCGGCTCGGTAGATGACGTGTAAACATTGAGAGAATGCGATGACCACTGTGTTCTGCATGCAAACATGCGTCTGTCCTTGAGCTTACCGATCGTTCAGTGTGATGTATTCATGTTAATCTTATTTCCAGCCAGAAAACATGTCTGACGAGGAAGTCAAGACCACCAAGAAGGCACGCAAGGCAGCAACAGAATCGCCTTCCAAGCGAACAAAGAAGGTATTGATATATTTCTCTTCCATAACTTACCCATTCCGCTGCTTTGGGAATCCCTAGGTCAACACTACATGGCATACTGAAGAAAAAATGGGTTCTCATCATTATAAAATCCAATCAGTCCATGCTTTAAAGGATTATGTATTACGGAAATCTTGTGCTGTATGGTTGTTGAATCTTTTTACTACGCTGCGGACTCGATAACGTTGTTTTCAGTTATGAGGTCCATTTTCACTTACGGTTATGTAAACAAGCAAAACGAACCCAAAAGAGAAACATCAAGAACAGCTACATAGTCCAAAGGTAACTGTTTGGTGCGCCATATCGTCTAGCGGTATTATTGGGCCGTATTTTTTTGAAGATGAAAACGGCCATGCATTGACAGTCAATTCCGAGCGATACAAGGACATTATTGAAACTTTTTTTGCTCCTATTGTAAGAACAGAACGTCAATTATAATAATAATAATAATAATAATAAAAACACATGGTTTCAACAGGATGGGCCCACTGCCCATACTTCCAGAGAATCGTTGGACACAGTGAAAGCACTTTTTCCCCAAAAAGATATATATCGAAGTTGAGGTTTATCGATTAGGAAATTTTAAACAATTTTATCATCACAGAATTCAAAACAAAATGGTTTTCAAGCAAATTTAAATGTAGGATATTTTGATTAATCATAGATCATTAACAAATAATTTTAATTTTAAAGGCTGTCAAGGCTGAAAACGGGGATGTCTCAGGAGAAGATGAGGCACCACCAGCGAAGAGGGGCAGAGGCAGGCCACCAAAGGGTAAGGGAAAGACCAAGGCTGAGAAGAAAACCAAAACAACTGGAGGTAATTATTTTTGATTTACATTTTTGTGTCAGATTGGTTATTCTTTATTTAATTTGGTGTTGTTAACTGAGCGTTCATTACTTCAGCACTCTTTACTCCCATTTTGTAATTTACAATATATTCTAAGTTTTGACAAAATTGGCACAATCGTTTACTAAGATTATGCTCTGACAAAGACAGGATGACAGGTAGAGAATAGCCAATCATTGATGTAGAGACTAAAAATTATTGACTCGAGTCACAGTATTTTTGACAAATAATATATATTCTATATGCCACAAAAATAATAATGACATGAATCATCTTGTGTGTACACAATTACTCAATGCCATTACAAACAATTTTTTGTCAAAAAATGGATTTTGTTCTTCAGTCGGAACTTGTTAACAAAACTTATATTACAGCTCTGAAATTGTGTGTGAATATTCCTCTTTTATGGAAGAATGAAAGTGATTATTACCTTTGTTCGTATCACTTCCTTTTTGAAAAAAAATTTTGAAGCCTCGTCTCGCAGCAAGATGGGTTTTTAAGGAAAGCAAAGTTTTTTCAAAGAGAAAAAGTGATAATAAAGTAATTAATCACTTGTTTCATTCATCCATAAAAGTGGAATATACACATACAATTTCAGAGCTGTACTAATATTAATTTGTTAACAAATTACAATTAAAGAAAAAATCCACAATAAAATACACAAAAAATGCATTTCATGACAAAAAAAATTATAAACAATATTCTTTAATCATCTCTATACACATGAAGTAATCAAACGAAAAGGTTTTAGAATACTGTTGCAAACAGTGGGATACCAAATGGCAGTCTGGCAATTTTCGCTGACTCTACAACTGTTTCAAACATGTATTCTTTTCAGGAACAGGCAAACGTGGAAGGCCAAAAAAGAAGTCGGCAAAGGACGAGTCTTCTGCTGAAGAAAATGGCGATAAAAGCAGCGAAGAAGAAGGCGACGACTAAGTTTATAATTTCTTAAGCATTTCCTGTCTTTTGTGTGAATGTATATTTATGTTTTAATTTGTAACTTGAATACAAGACTGTTTCGCATTTCTAGCTTTTCATAATTTGTCATATTTTGGAGAAAATTTCGTAAAATGTAAATACGCCTTTAAGTTCCAAATAAATTTTCTATCTTTCATATGGTGTTTCTTTATCAAAAAAGGAATATTAGGATATAAATTTAAGTCTATCTTACAAAATTGATAGTTGAAAACACAATTAATAAGTAAATGAATTTGCAACGCCAATTTAATTAAAGAGAAAGTGATTTAGGAGACTCGTCGGTTCTTGGACCAGTTCTTTCCATCTCAGTCTAAAAAAAATGCAAAATCCAATTTTTGGGCTGATGATAACTATTAAATACTCAAAATTCTTAATCAAGTATCTCATTAACAGTGATTTAAAACTTGTATCAGAATAGCTAATATCTAACAAATTAAACACAAAGCAAAAGTTATGATTATTGGGAAAATGATAAAAATGTATACGTAAATATTGATAACTTTGTAGATTAATACAAATACCTTGGCATTATTGTTGACAGTAGGTTGAATTTTGAATTACATTATGAGAAAAATATCGGTAGAGTTAGTAGTTAAGTATGCTGTCGCGTATTTCGAGAGTTTTTGATTCATTGCAGTAAGTAAATAATTTATAATAATTGTACAAAGGGTACTTTAAAAGTTTTGCAGTATGAGTTAACAAACGGACGCAGGAGGCTGCATGTTGAGGCATGTCCATGAGTGCATAGTAGCTGCCAGCGCACGTCTGTTGATATAGTTGTTCATTCGTATTGAGTGCGGACTATGGCATCGTGATCACGTAATGAAATTAGGGTAGTTTTACGGTATAACTTTACGCGTGGTTTAAGCATAGACCAATGCTTCGAACAAATGACGCTTGCATCAAAGAATGATTGTCCTCAACGTACCATTGTATTCAGGTGGTAAAAGGGACAATTCACTCTGGAGGACGCTGAGAGGGATGGAAGGCGGCGAACGTCACTAACAGATGAAAACATTACTGCTGTGAGGAAAATGCTTGACGAAGACTGGACAGTGACTTAGCAACAGATGCTGAAAATGTTTGATAAGGGGCAATATCGGTATGTGAACAGCATCGTGACAGGTGGCGAGACTTGGCTCTAAGCTCAAAACAAAGTTTGGGTCTTTGATGATGAAGACACACACGTAGCTGTCAGAAAGTCCCGATCTGTTATGATTGCTTTTTTTGTTGAAATGGAGCAGGATTGTGGAGCGTGTCGTTTTGGATACACATAAGACAGTTACAGCTAAGTGGTACACGGAACAGTGCCTGCCTAAAGTCATATACTATGAAAAGCCTGCGGACAAAGTCAAGAATGGACACTTGGTACCTCTACCAAGACAACACTCCAAAGTGACCACTACTGGACTGAAACTTATTGAGCACCCTCTTCACAGTCCAGATCTTGCTCCCTTGCGACTTTGTACTATTTCCGTATGTGAAAATGAAGCTAAATTGAACACGGTTTTCTAGCGATGAGGACCTTCTGAGGGTTTGGGGACGAGTGTATCGCACTCCCGGGTGAAACTTGGCAGAGCTGGGTTAAGAACTGGTTTTGGCGGATGCAGAAGTGTATTGAAACTTATATAGTACCCTTTGTACTGCCAATTTTTTTGTATAGTTTTTAAGATTTAGTTTTCCAGAAATTAGATTTTACAAAATAAATGTATATACGCCCTACAATCAAGTGTTCAATACGTTAATATGGCTAACATTAAACATTTCTTTAAATAACTAGACAAGACTTTTATTTATAAAATGAAAAATAATTGATTGCCATCATGTCTATCTTCACTAACTTCTGTCAATGCTGACCATTTTTATACCAGACACAAGCATGATTCCAATTTAAACGCAAAAACGCACTATATGTACGAAATCGGTTTTCCACCAATGCCTAATAGAATTCAACAAATTAGATTCAGCCATAAATCGACGAAATAGACTAAAAAAATATTATTGTTTCAATTACTAGTATTGTATTCCAATTGTTTCTGTAATATATAAATCTTTCTATCACAACTATTTCCTACTAAAGCTGTTTTTTTCCATCACATGTCTATCAAATCTATCTTTTTTCTATCACATTGCTATCAAATCTGTTTTTGCTGCAAAATGAGTTATCAAGAAAAGTAAATATTTTTTGAAGAAAAAACATAATAAGAAAACTAATCGCCCGCTCAATACTACTATAAAGGTGGAATATTCACATACAAATTCAAAGTCTCGATCTAAAGAGAAAATGTGCAAAAAATACATTTTTTGACTAAAAATTGCTACCATTGCTTTCTCTATGCACACCATGAAATAATCAGATGAAGAGTAGCTATTAAGAATACTTCTTCAAACAGGCAGTTAAAAAAAGTGTTGCACGACCTTAAGTCTGTGCATATAGCATTTGGACATTTCACTAAAATCAGGTTAATCGTTGTTCATGTTTCACGCAATAAAGCAAACAAAAAAGTTACTACAAAAGTGTATTTATAAAAATCGCATTAAATAAAAAATGAACACAGAATCTTGTTCGGAATAATAACATTGAAAAGTGGTAATAATGTACAATATACAGTATAAAATCGTATCCATCATACTATCAGCAACAGTTTTGCATTACTTTATTTTTTGTACTTTCCATTGGGGCAAAACTGAAACAATACAACCGTTTAGTGGAAAGAACTTTATTTGGGGAAATGGTAAAAAAATTATGGGAAAGAGTCCAAGTTTAGAGAAACTGTTACCACTCTGTTTATTATTTTCTGTAGTATAAAAAAGTATCAAAATATTCAGTATGAACAAAGTGGCATTGCCTGGGCTACAAAAATATTAAATATCATAGATGCATTAATGTAGGTTCTATTTGAGAAAAAAACTGTGAGGCCAAAAGATGGCTAACAAGAAAATCTATGTTGATGTTTATCAATACATGAGAGATATGAATGATCATTGTATAGTTAAAAATCAATTTTAATATTTTCAAATTTTGCCGTCATTAACCAGGTGATGTCAAGAAGGAGGATTGAAAAGGATTGTATTACTGACAGTAAAATTCCTTCGATTTGTAAGCATGATATCTATATGATGATTAAATAAGCAATGACAATATTATTAAGTAAAAATAACACAAAAAGTTCTTGAAATATAAATCAAAAAACATAAAAAAAATTATATCTCTGGAGTGGATTTTAAAATTTTGTACACGCCGACCCAACAGGATAAGGAATACAAACCAAAAATAGGCCACTAACTGCACCAGGGACGAATAATCTCAGACATTTTGACCAGTACTGACTTTTCTGAGGCACCTATTGTATTTTCAGATAAGATATTTAATTTTACATAAATTATTTCTCATAGGAAATTTTTGTCAGACCATTCCTTTTGGAGAAAAATTGGTCTATATATTTTGAGATAAATAATTAAATCCATTCTTCTTTGAAGTATACTGGAATTAGGAAAGGTTGACATTGAATATTGTATGTTACAGGAATGAACGTGTGAAACATATTTGTTTTGTCCTTAATGGGTATCATCAGTGGCATATAAATTTCTACATCCTGTATCTTGGTGAAGGATCTATTTGTATAGGACTTTCTAGGTTATTTTTGATGTCCACAAGGAGAAACATTCGAAAAAAATAGCATTTTGGAAGGAAAAATGAGTTTAAAACAACTAGTTCAGAAGCTTTACTCTGGTCATGTCATTATGCTGCTTGCAAATGAAGATTAAAAAAAAGATGGTGGATAAGCTTAGAGGCCCTTCTGGAATCAAGTATTTCCTGATCCCACAATATAAATATTGGTTATTGAAACACTTTATGGATTTGAGCGTTTGAGTGAAGGACTACTGCACTAAAAAACATCTCAAAATAATGAAAAAAATGAGTGCATGCATGCTCTGATGTACTTTCTGTCCTATAAACATTGCCACTGTTTTCTAAAACAATCTGTATAGCCTGGCAACTAGGAGATACAGTAGCATGTTGATGCCTCTTGATGCAGTATCTCACAGCATGCTTTCTTATGTCAAGCGATAAATCCTTCCTAATATAATGAATGGCATACTGTGAGATACTATGGTACGAGGCATCACCTTGTTATGACAGCCAGAGCTTGCAAGCTGTTTCTCATCAGAGTGTGTGCTCTGTCAGAAGGTAATCCTTTTTGATGTCATTCTTCGCCATCCCTTGGTGCATGCTTGAGTGCTAGCCCTATATTTCAATGAATTTTGAGACCTTTTCATACTAAAAAGTACTTGATTAAAAAGTAACATTATTTATTCAGTATCAAGCTTCAATATTTTGTTAAAATACTAAGCAAAAGAAAAGCTAACATTAAAAGGACTTTTTGGTGAGTTAAAACCCTAATGCTACATTATTTACATGGTATCATTATCAGACCTGTTACTCAGCTGCCATATCTGGCAATTTATATACAGAATCATTTTGAATAACACATAACATATGTTTATGATGCATTCAAAACTAAATATCACAAGGTTATGAGTAACAGGACTAAAAATAATAACATTTCATTAAGATTAAAATAAATATTCACTTGTTTTCATCATACTTTGAAGGTGGAGTTGTTATAGGTCTCTTGAAGAGTAGGATGTGTGGTTCTGAAAAAAAAGTTTATGATTATTAAAGTTCATGATTTCTTCATAACACTATCCACCTTAATTTCTCTAGGTTAAAGTAAATTTTGAAAAATGGACATACAAATCTAATTCAGCTACCAATACCAATTCAGCAGAATGAAAAAGTTGCAGGTTATTCGGTAGGTGATGGGATTCAAAAGAATGATATGTTAACATTCCTGTAAAGGTGACCCTTTTCAAGAAAAGAATTTCATAAATGGTAAATCTGTTTACCAACGAAAATGTGTCAAGTTCAAAAATAATAAATATGACTAAACCATGCCCTTTTGTGAATCTTTTCCCACAAAGGTCTGTTATTATTATTGTGAAAGAACATATTAACCATGGAAGGCAAGGTGTTAAATTAACGCTTATTCTAGGTACAGTTGGAATATGTTAAAAGAGTCTCAAGTGCTCAACCTCTCCTTTATATTAAAAGTATTTTAAGAGAATATCTATTAAATGGTCTTCTATTAGTTCTGTCCAACATTGGCTTTGCGACAGTCTGCAGAAGGCATATATGGTGGATGAGATGTTCAGCATGTAGCTAGACAAAATCATATGATTTATTTGTTTGAATGACTGTATTTCCCAGCATCTTACAGAAATTCATTGTTGGAAAGGAATGTTTATAAGGAAAAGATGTTTGCCAAAACAATATGCTACAGACCAACAAGAATGACTTTTTCTCTAGCATGTACCATTTCTGAGGTATACCACTTCAAAGGTACTCTGATGGAAATCACAAACTTTGGTTCCAGCTAATATCTTTGATACTACAAACTTTTTGGAAAAAAGTGGTTACTGCTCTCCATACAATTTCTTATTATATTATAGTCATGTTAAGGTTTTAAATTTCTGTATCTGTTTGTCATGTGCATGCAGTTTTGATCTCATCTTTGATATACAATATAGCAATGGCCAGAAATACAATTAGTGGACAATGTTGGATTTTATGTGTTGAATATGTTGGAGTATTTTGAGAAGGTAGAGAAAAAGATTGTCCGCGATTTCCTACTTCATGTGTGCAAATGCCAGTAGCAGCTGTGTTAAAGATCTGGTTGCACAATTACCATCTGTCCATAATTCAGTTAGTTGATATACAACTGTCAAAATTGGCAAAAAGTCCTATAGACATTCAAGGAGTTGAAAAAGATGTATAATTCTATAGATGGTCTAGATTCCAGTAGTTTAAGTAAGTTATGGCTGAAAAAGATAAAGCTTAATATCAAATTTTGTTGTTTTAATCTGCAAAAACTTTTCAATACCTTGAATTCTATAGAAAGGTTAGCAACCCAACCAAGAATATGTATGAATCATTTGTGTAGGCAGATAACCTTCACAATATGCTCAAAAAAAAAGTATTTCCATTTTTAGACAATGGCCAAGTAAGAAGGACTGTGGCAAAACAATTTATTGGTACAATATGATATATAATGAATAGCCCGCCAAAGGTACTACTACAACAAAGAATATCCACAAAGACCCACCTGGTTCGTGTATCATATAATGCACCCAACCTTTGCTCTGTTGTACTCCCAAGCCTCTCCATTCTGCTTCTGACATTAGATGTGTTTTTGGTACTAACTTGGTCATCTCTTTCGGTAAAACAACGTGTCTGAAGATTTGAAAATCAGGTTACAAAGATGCTGGCATGTGTGGAAAATACAAAACTCACCGGTATTCGTATTCATCATCGTAGTATTTGTCCGAATAGTAAATGTGTTTCTGAAGTTCTTCACGGTTCATGGTTGATCACAGTACGTAGATATGTAGTAGATCAATCAGGAAGATCAAAATTTTCCAGAAAATGCAGGGAAATCTAGAGTAGTAAGAAATTTGTGGGAAGTCAGACAAGACATAAACAGAAAATAATTTTGATTGGAAATCCGTTGTAACTGTCGTTTTCAGATGTATTGCCAACCTAAACGTAAAATACCCTAGGATTCAATCGTGGCTAGGGGACCGCAAGCCGTACGACTTACGTTTTGTGGACGAATGCGGGTGATACGCGCTCGCATACACTGCCCTATAAAATGTATGTTCTGATATAGTTTTGTCGATGTTCATTGTTAAATACAAACATCTTTATTCAGAATTGGTAACCACTAAGAAATATGGGGCAAAGACAGCTAAAATGGCTGAGTAACAAATATGAAAGGATTTTTTAAATTCTCTTGAAATATAAGTTTACATATCGTAATAATTTCTCTTTCAGTGCCAAATTTAAATCGTACTCACAATTTATATACTTGTTTTAGCCAGAAAACAAAATTTCATCAAGATTTCAGGCGTTCGAGGATTTTTAAAATCATCTCGAAATACACGGTGTCCTATTTTAACCTTCCCAGCTAAATGTTTCGAAAATAGCATATTCTAGTAAAAAAGTTTCAAACGAAAGTTGTAGGGTTTTGAGATGACAATATTATGGTGATATTTTTGTCGTAGTACGTTCAACAATTTTAACAGTAGAAAATACTATACCTACGTTTGTCGCTTGAATTATAATATAAAATCACAAATCCTTACTAAAAAAAGTCACGTTTCAACAAAATCAATAAGTGGACTATTTTCAAAAACCTTTTTTCTTTAGAAGTTAGTCAAACGATCAAGTTGTGCCCATGGACATTTTTAATCAAGATATCGAAAATAACGTACCAAATTTTCTTACAAATTAACCAAATCTCGAACTATCATAGACAGAAAATGTGTGTTTTTTTAGGTGGATTATAGAGCAGCTTTTCAGTGACCCAGTTGAGCTATTCGGAGTAACTCACCATGCTCATCACCAATATTGTTCCACTGCATTTTATATTCCCATAAATACACTGGAAAGCAGCTTATGTAAATTAAACCATCATATCTAGAATTAATTTTCTTTATAAACCCAATTTTATATAAGCATTCCCTCAGGTTTTGCTAAAATAACCAATGAAGAATTTTCTATATACACTGAAAATATGTATCAGATTAATGCTTGAAAACCCATACATATTTACGAAAAATATTAGATATTTCATCAAAATACAAAATTCATATTTAAAAATCTTTTCTCATATATTTTCTAAATATTTGGCAAAAATATCGCAAAAATATATGAATTATATATATATACTACAAACATCTATAACGAATATTTTATAGATATATAGGAAATATATTTATTAAATATTAAAAAATCTGTCACTACAAATATTTAATATATTTTTTAAAAATATTTAATAAATATTTAATGCTATCAGGGTTGACCATTACCTTAGCTACGACCTCCCATAACATTCCAAGGTCACGTGTATATTTTCAAACAGAAATTGAAAAGAGGAGTAAATCTTCCGTCCGAACATCTTGGCCATGACCTTGACCATTGCCTTCAAGACCATCGCAAGGTCAAATCGAAATTTTAAAAACAATTTGTTGTTGCAAGAAGGTGCGACAGCACAATTATGAGATTTATGGTAAGGTGACCTTGACCTTGACCTTCAAGGTCAAGTCAACATTTCCATAAGAAATCTCTCATTTTTATACTGAAAAGTTTGGTTTCGCCTTGAAGGTCATAGACAATGTCACCTTTGGGTGAGCCCTATAAACCTTGCATCTGTGCTGAAGGATACTTTTGCTCGAGCAGATTGTTTTTGATGTCTTAATATGACCTTGAAGTAGCCTTGAAGGAAATGATCAAAGTCATGGACAAGGTGATGTTCTGTCGTAAAGTTTGTCCCTCTTTTCAATTCAGATGTTGCTTTTAAAATTCTATGCATCTTATACACAGGGTGTTTATTAATGCAAAATAGTATTTTCAAAAAATTAAATGGAACACCTTGTATATTTATATGCTTTTAGATATTAGATTATTCACTTTATTTTGGTATGAAATGTTCGGGTAAGTCACTTGATTTTTGAACTCCATTGAGGCCCAAATTTAAGACTAAAAACCAAAAGTACCCTGTATGAAGCTTCTGAATGACAAAATTTGATTTTTTCCGGTCCGCCGGCACCTACTGTCACGCGAACCTCAAAATTTAATAGGCGACATGTCCAACAACTCGGTAATTCTCAGGTAAAATTCGCCGTTCAGGCTTTAGGACCCCACAATGAACAAGTCAAGTTCGCTATATTTAGATAACCCATGGAGCGATGTCACCAGCAAACTGCATTTGGCCAAGAAAAAGCTAGCTCCGGTAATCAAAAACCTCATGGAATCGTCTAGCGGAGACAGTGATCATCCTTCTATCACTGTGGACGAGTACTCAGATGCAGGTATTAGTAACACACATAGTTGCAACTTCATGTCAGTCATCTAAAATATTTAGGCTGCCGGTGTAAAGTTGATGTTTCCAGCCAATATATTAATATAGATAAGCATTTGTATGAAGAAGTGTCTATTATGTAATTTTTGCGGTCGAACCATTATTTCCTACACAATAAATATAATATAAGAGGTCTGTAAAGTAAGTGATGAGACTGAGTGATTTCTGTTTTTTCTTGGCATGGTAGTAACCTTGTGTAAAAATTTATAACGGGCTCAGATTAACGGACGCGCAGGCAGGCAGACAGGCCGACAGAAACGAGTGACGTGGTTTTTCGCGATTCATTTTCGAATTTTTCGGCGATTTCAATACTTCCCCAGCAGTAGGCGTGGGAAATAAATCAAAATAACGATACCCCCTAAAATCCTTTGGAAATCGATTAATGGATGTTTGAAGAATAGGAACTAGCAACATTGAGATAAAACATAAAATTTTATTTTTTTTTGACATTTCGTGCTTTTCCAAATATTAAGTTATCTGAATTTCGGAAGACATGAACTTTAGGGAAAAATCTGTTAGAACTTTTGTTGTTCAGAATGATCGAAATAAAAACAAATTTTAGAATTTTGTTTATTTTATATTTATATACTAAGTGACATATAAATCCGAACAACCAGTTTAAATGGTTTTATTTAAAAAAAAGTTTGTATAAGTACTTGATGAAGCATAATAAGTAAATGATAAAAATTTCAAAATGATTGCACTGATTTAAAGCCCTTTGACCTTTAATAATGTGTGGATGCACCCTGATGTGCTACGCATTCTCCAACGCGCCTAGGAATGCTTCTGATCAGGTGGTCAATGTCCTCCTGTGGTATCTCATTCCAGGCAACCACCAACTCCTCTCGAAGTGCTTCTAGAGTCTGAGGAGGACGTTGCAAATTGAACAATCTCCTACCCATCATATCCCAAACGTGCTCAATTGGGGATAAGTCGGGAGATCTTGGTGGCCATGGTAACAATGTGACATCATTATGTTGAAAAAAGTCTATTGTGACTCTTGCAACATGTGGTCGGGCATTATCTTGTTGGAAAGCTGGATCTGCCAGGGTGTCAAGATAGGGTAGAAGATGGGGTTCTAGAACTTCGTGGATATAACGCTGCGCGTTCAAGTTACCTCTGATGAAGATTAAAGGTGACCTGGAACCATAAGCTATAGCACCCCAAACCATAACTCCAACAGTGTGATGAACATGTCTTTCAACAAAAAACTGGGGATTCTTCCTTTCACCATGTCGCCTTCTAACCCTGGCACGACCATCGTGCATGCCTAAACAAAAGCGAGACTCATCACTAAAGACAATACTGTTCCATTCCTGATCCCAGAGAGACCGTTGTCTGCACCACTCAAGGCGATTACGTCGGTGTTCTCGAGTTAAAGGGAGGACCCAGTGTGGCCGGTATGAAAACAAGCCAAAACTTCTCATTTGTCGGTAAACACTTCGCATGCCAATAGGTCTTCCGTGTTCTGCAAACCATTCATTTGCAATGGACCTGGTAGTGGAGAAACGGTCCCTTAAGGCCAATAATCTTAGGCGGCGATCTTCACGGTCTGTTGTTCTACGGCGGCGTCCAGTGCCCCTTGCTCTTTGCGTACGGCTTTCTCGAAGCCATGCCTGACAACACCTAACCACAGTGTCTACACTTCTTTGCACTCTAACTGCAATTGCCCGAAAAGAAAGTCCAGCTTCCCGAAGTCCCACTATACGGCCCCTATCAAACTCACTAAGTTGACGAAATCGTACAGGTCTCCGTACTCTAGGCATCGTAACCGATCGTAAAGGATGTCAAGAACCAAAATCCGCCAACGTTGATTCTTTACTGCGGCTGAAATATTCATTTTTAGAGCGTTAGTGAATTAAAAAAAAACAGTATAAAAACCGGAATGTCCAACTGATAAGGCTGAAAATTTGTTCACTTGTTATTTACAGTAAGATAAATACATTCACCAACTTTTATTAAAATAAAACCATTTAAACTGGGTGTTCGGATTTATATGTCACTTAGTATATATTGTATATTATATTTGGCGCATTTTTTGGCCTGGCAACATCTAGCTTTGTTAAAATAGGTCCCTTTTGAATGAAAGTATGCAAAAAGCAGAAACAGATCTTTTTTCGGGCAGATGCGAAGATACTTTCCTGGACTAAAGGCACGCACCATTTTGATCTCGGAAACTGTAAGAGATACGAAGTCGCCTAAATGGAGGCAAATTTATAGAGGTAAATCATAGCAGATGGTCAAAATGTCCGATATTTTGTAGGCAAGGCTTCATTCTTGTCTGTACATTATTCAGTGCTCGATTTAATACTCTTCCTCTCCATCTTCCATTGCTATGTTCAATTTGAGGTCTGGTCTGGTATACGAAACAAATGAGCTCTGGTAATATCAAGGCCTACCTAGAAAATTCTGTTTTAATGGAATAACTAAGGGCTGGCAATGTCAATGTATAAAATATCATACACTTCTTAAATTAGAATTAAAAACTCTTTTTATCGGCGCAATAATCCATAAGAAAAAATAAAGTTCATGCTGAAGGACAAGAGACAAAACGTCATATTGTAATTCTAATTATGCCATATTGTACAGGAGAAAAAGTGGCAATGTTAATGTGCAATCGATTTTTCAATACCACTACAAATAGAGACAGGAACAAATTATAACTAGTTTGATAAAATTCAGTTTTTCCGGAAGTACTTTGTACTTCGAAACTTTCTAAGCGGCATTTTGTTGATTACGTAAATATGCAACTTTTCCCCCGTTTAAGCAAATCCGTATCTCTTACAGCTTCCGAGATTCCAATGTTGAGGGTCGAATTTGAAACACCCTGTATAGTACGGATTTTAAAATCAGGCTTTTTCTGTGATGGCTTTTTAAGATATCCATACCTCTGAAACACCCTGTTGTATTTGTAGTATGGGCCGCTGAAATCTTGGCAGAAGTCGAAGAAACGCTGGAAAAATCAAAACGAAAAAGACACATGAAACTTCCCCATAACATTAACACAAAATTTGACTTTCCTACTAAAGTAGTAGCAGTAAACGAATTAGGCAAAGTGTACGTCGACACTTCGGTCTTGGTACAACTCATTGAACTCCACCAATCACTTGGTGCTATCATCAAGAACATCAATGAAGGAAGGTACAACCGAGATAATCTCCCAAAGAAAGAGAAAAAGAAGAATAGCATCTGTTTGAAAGTAGTGGAGGATCAACTCGACAAGACGCAATATTTGAATATGGAGGAAAACAATAGAAGTTGCAATAAGGTGGGCAAGCGCATTGTCGTGATGACGGCCAACGTTGTCTCTGATAATAGGACCCCGGAAGATCCTGATACGAGAAAGACAAAATCAACTGGTTGGTTTTTATTATAATTATCACTTTTCTTGTATACGCGAGGCAGACATTTTTTCATATACAGGTGCGTCATCTATTACTTTTTTTCTATTTGAAAAATCAACATCCTTTTTACGAGGTGAAATCGATTTTTTTTATTGATAATTGAAGGTCGGTTTATGCCATTTATGTATGAAAAATAACATCAGTCATGTGACCACGGCGGGTTCGTTTACAGGCCAACATCCGAACATCAAAATTTTCAATGACTTTTAGCAAAATAATCGGGTCTATGGCCGCAATATCAGTCCGAATATTGCGCTTTAGGTCTTGAATTGTCCGGGGACCATTCGCATATACTTTTCCTATCAAAAATCTCTAAAGAAAATAGTCAAGAGGTGTTAAATCGCACGATCTCGAGGGCCAACAACAGTTTCGTGAAATTATGAGGCCTTGAAATTTTGTGTGCAATAAGGCGATTGTTTGGCGAGATGTGTGAGCCGTTGCTCCGTCTTGATGAAACCAAAGATCGTCGGCACCAATACGATCCAATTGTGGCCACAAAAAGTCTATTAACATGCCGCGATAACGTTCCCCGTTGACGGTAATGGCCTTTCCTTTGGCATCTTCAAAGAAGAATGGTCCAACGATGCCACCAGCCCATGATCCGCACCAAACAGTCACTTTTTCATGATGGAGAGGTTGTTCATGATACTGGTGTGGATTTTCAGCCCCCCAGAATCTGCAATTTTGCTTATTTACGTACCCATTGAGGTGAAAATGAACGGCCGAAAATCCGTCTTCTCTTTCCTGCATCCAATTAACAAAAACACGCCACTGTTGATGGTCTGCCGGCTTCAATTCTTGTGTTAGTTTGATTTTGTATGGACGGAGGTGTAAATCAATGTGTAAAATCCGGCGTAAAGTGGTCTCACTAATTCCCAATTGTTGCGAACGGTGCCTAGTCGAGGTGGTTGGATCTTCTCGCACACTTTCACTCACTGCAGCTATGTTTTTACGAGTACAAGTTGGACGAGCATGTTGGTATGGTCTACGAGCTTCAGCTGCACCAGTCTCCTCAAAACGATTAACAATCCAACGAATTCCAGGCTCTGTAGGGCGTCCATGTCGGAAAAAACTAGTGCGAAGTTTGCGAAAAGTATTTTTTATACTTCGACCGTTTTCGTAATCAGTTTGGATAACCAAAATGCGTTGTTGTGTTGTAAACGAATCCATGACTATAAATTGCATACCGTTGACAGTTCATTTATGCATACCACATAACTTTTGACTCACATGGTAACACATAAACTTATAGGTAATAAAAAGTGATAGATGGCGTACCCAGTATTTGAAATCAGTGTTCCAAAAGACCCCATGAAAACCTTGTGGGGAATGGATTTCGGCAAATTTTGTAAAATTTACAAATTTATTGACGGATTTTTGACGATGCATTGCTAGAGGCGTTCTTGAAAGTTCGGGTAGACTCTCTCCGACATCGTTCTCTCAACTTGGGCGACTTCCACGTGAATTGTCTCCCTCAACTCGTCCAGAGTTCGAGGCTTGTGCTCATATACACTGAACTACGGAACAGCACCAAACTTGGAAATAAGGTGACCACGGAAGAGAGGGCGAATGAAGTTCTTCGTTGCTCTGGCTGTGTGAGCGGTCGCCCTCACTGGCGGATTTAGAGGGAGGGCGCGGGGGACGCGCGCCCCCCGTAGACGTCTGACATTTGCTTTTGCAATCTAACAGCATTGTGTTACTTTCTGTCACATCATGGTGACAGAGGCATACTAACTATAAGTTATAGCTATAGGAACTGAGCATTATGATTTTTTGGTATCCTTTGGTATTCCAAATGCTGTCCCTCTTTGACATCACTTGTTTACAGCACAACTCGATTTATACCTATATACGAGTATTGTGACTTGTGACAAATCTAATTCTGGATAATATATTAGCTATACAGATTGCACTTAAAAAGTGATTCATGTTCTGTTTGTTGCTCAATAGTAATTTGAAAAGTACGTAAAACTTGACTGATTTTGTTCGGGGTTGGTGTTGCAGAGAAGCACTATGTTAGATGAATTCCTAAATTGGAAATAGACATTTATGAGATTTGTTTAGCAGTGCGCCTGTGGCCTGTCTAGAAACTGCGTCGAACGATGCTCAAAATCAATACCACACGTCCCGCATCTCTTCTCGCGTATGTGTCTATTTATGTTGCTATAATGAATTCGTTTAAATCGCAGAGCTGGTGCACTTTACGTGAATATGTACAGCCCTGTATTCCTGTACTTGTTTAGTACAAACATACAGTATCAAAATAATTACGATCTAACAGATATAGTTCTTTCCAAGGATTTCCAACATTTCTACATGCGATCAACACCGGTTCGAAAACTGAGAAAACAACTATGCCGTAAATCTAAGTTCGACAACGAAAGTATGAAAAATATCTGTAACATCTATATTGAATTTCAAAAACCCCAGCCTCTACTGAGCGGGGTCGTGGCAAATGGTTGTTCCGGAAGTTGTATCCAACATACAACTTCTTCCCGTACAACCCAACTAGCAAAGAAGTGCTATAAGCTTTTGGTAAAAGAACCATAAAAGCTCTCTATTGTTGTTGCCTGAACACCAAAATGCTGGCTTAATGTTGTGTGGAATGCAAATTTGCTTTCTGCAACATATTTGCTCTAAAATAAGGTGTTTAAAATATTCTTATAGCACAGCTATAGAAAACCTTATAGGACACATTTTTAACTGTTGCATAAACGTTTATACAACTATTTTATATGGCATATTTGCTCGTTAGTCAAACTGGTTGTGTAGTGGCAATCATGGTAACGTTTATAAAAAAAACGAGCTTTGTTGTTTAGCTGTGCAAATTTACTACTCTAGTCAACAAATTGCTCCCAATGGAAGCACTTATACAACTGTTGTTTAGTAACTGTTAAAGGCTGTACATATGCAACAATATTACAACTTTTGTAGTACAAAATTGCTGTGCTCGGCATACATTTGTTACTAAATATGTTGGTATACAACTTCACCATAACCTAACTTTCTGCTGCCATATTTTTGTTAAAATGCCATAACCAATGTTTTAAGTCAAACAACGCATGCATATTGGTTCAAAAGGTTTTAGCAACTGTTCAAACAGAAGATATAGATCCGGTACAAATTCTGGATAAATTATTCGACTTTGTCGGTACTTCATTTCAGACATTTGTCAAATTGTTGTATAACACCTGCAGGCAACACCAAAATATTCTAATAAACTAAAGACAACATGGACGATGCCATGATTATACACAACCACCCGCCATATTGGGAGAACACTTATTCCTCTATTTAATATTAAATAATTATGTTTCAGTTCGAAATTACAGATATAAAGTGATAAAAATTAGTGTAATTGTGTCTAAATATAGGATTTGTGGAAGATTTAACGCAGATAAGTTCAGTTTTCCATCTTAAAAATCTAGACATGCTATTAAAATATGAATCAAATACGCAGCCCGTAGAAATTGCATGACTACTTTGCAGAATAATCACAATTAAACTTGCTGCGCAAGTAATTCAACAGCCCTATATCACAGTGTAGAAGTTTATCATATACCTGTGTATGAAATTCACAATGGCCGATATGTAAGTAAACAAGATGAGTGTGATGTGTTAGTTATATATTATTCACTTCGTCTATACAAGACATAAGAAATAGTTTGGTTGCAATAAAGTAGAATCACGTAACAGAATAGTTGTATAGTTGACAAGAACTGAATCTTGCACTGTCTTAGATGTCCTATAGCGGCTGCAAAAGGCTTACACTTTTGTTGTATAACTGTTACCTGCACCCTTATACAACTTCTTAAATGACTGAAGTGTCCTATTAGGTGTGCCCATTCCGTTTGTATAGCTGTTCTAAGAGGGTTTTTCCAATGTTCTTACAGTATACAATGCTGTGTAAGGAATACTGTATAATCATTCTTGCAACTCTAATAGGAGTGATGATTGTTAGTTGAGAAGTGACTGTACACGCGTTAAGGAATACCTCAGTACCGATTGCCGGGTGGCGTTACAAGTCCGCCAACGGGCTACTTTAGGTCTATTTAATATCATTAACACGCAATGAGAAGGTGGTAGACAAGGACCAGTCGGCCGAGGCGGTACCACCCGCTAGCTTTTCCCAGGGTGTCTTATAAGTGCCCGCATATTTCCACACCTAAGCTATGTAGTCGGTTATCTCCCAAAACAAAGAAATTAATGATGCTGGATCCCTCGAGTACTAAGAATTTCGGATGTAAGCTCACTCCACTCTCAGACTGTCCGGGTGGAGGGTGGACTCGAGGGAACAACAAGATTAAATTTGTTTCTCGAAGATCTGCGGAATTAACAGCAATATGGATGCTGTTCATCACTACTTGCAATCCAATCGTCCCGCCATGCTTTTTTGGCGGAGATAAAAATCTCATCTTAGCTTACCAAATTACGAGGTGCACTCGAATCTGAGAAAGATCGGGGGAGTAGTGGCCTTTGTCCGCAGCAGTCTTTCCTGCTGCAGAGATGTTTCTCTGGAATCAGACCGGAAGGGCATTCTGTGGCTTCGCCTCAACTCCAAAACATCCTCCAAATTTATTTGCTGCCTATATCGCTCCCCTTGGACCATAACTGTGATGATCTTGAATACCTCGCCGTCAAGATCGACTTCTCGAATATCAATCACTCCGCTTCAGAGGTAGTTCTCCTCGGTGATTTCAATGACCATAATTTGCTTCGGTTGGGCTCAAACAAGACCGATGCAGCAGGTCGTGCAGTTAAAGCGTTCGCTGTTACTCTAGGGCTGACCCAGCTGGTGACGGGCCAGTATCCTGCTGGATCTCTTTCTGACCACGCATCCTGTCCCTTACAGCTCTGCTGTCCTGTCTCCCCTGGGTAACTCAGACCACTGTGTTGTTAAGGTTAGGTTTCGGTCAGAACCCGCTGTTTCAACAGAAACTCGCACGGGCCGCAAA